TACGCTATGTTAATGTGGCTCGCCGAAAAAATAGACAACGGCGTGCATGGCAAAATGTTCACTCAGCTTAAATGATTATTTGCCATCCTTCAAACTTGCGACATTTTTTTTTTTTTTTGTGTTACATAGTATGACCACTTTATCGCAATGCTATTTTTATTCACAAATATCTTTGAAAAAAAAAAAAAAAAAATACAAGACGGCTTAAGTTAACCCGTCTTACTAAATTCGTTTACAACTGTGCGTAACACATTTGTTCAAAAAATGGATCGGAAGAAGGCGATGCCGCTTATCAAAAGTGAGGACGAGCTGTCCAAGTGCATCGAAATGCTTCGAATAAAAAGGCAGGATATTCATGAGCAAATATTAAAGGTACAAAAATGGGACAAGTTGTGGTGAACACATTTTAGGCCCAAGGGGTACATGTGTTTGTGGGTGTTTCGGAGCGACACATGAGCTGATTTTTTTGTGAAGCTCATTAATTGCCCGCTTCTGTCAAATTTCATCTCATCCCTTTTTCTCTCACCCCCTTTTTGCCGGTTACCTCCAACATGAGGAAGAGGACAAAGAAAGAATGCAGAAGGAGATCGCCATGCTGAATGAAAAGCTACAAGAAGTGTGCCATAGTATAACCAAGAAGCTACAAACACGCTTAGAATATGATCGAACCATTAAAGAAACATCAGCAGCGTACACCAAAATAAGAGAGTCTGCCAAGTCTCTCCTGCACATTTTAAAAAGGGAAGAGAATCATCTGGGGAGTAAACTATACAGTGGGGCATCGGAGGACGATTTTAAGTCGCTCAGGGAATTGAGGAATATTCATCATCATTAAGAGTGGGTTTTGCAAAGTTGGTTCTTTTTGAGAGGACACCCTTATCAATTTAAGAAAAAAAAAAAAATGCCTATGTCCAAGTGGAAGCGAAGAAAAAGGTATGGGCGCCTCGATCTGCGCATATGTGTAGAGAGACATTTTAAATGAATTTCCTTTCCCTCCCCCTGTGCTTGGCAATTATGTGGAGATGAAAATTAGGGAGAAAGGAAAAAACTGGCACTGGTAACAAGTGATAATAATTGTATGGCACGGAGGGCACTTCCACAGGGAGGACGCATTTGACATATATAACGTGGGAGAGTAATAATTCGGAGGGCAGAAGCAGCATGGTTCTATTAATATCCTCACAAGCGTATGTATGTGTGGATTCCTCCCGCTCAAGCAAATATGACCCCTTTGTCTATGTAGCTATAATTTGACTGATGGTTTGTCCAAATAATGTCTAAGCTTGAAAAAAATGTTTTGTAAATTTTTGCAAGCCGATCATGTATGCCTCACACTATGGTAGAAGAATGGTCTCGTCTTTTTAACAATTTCGAAACGGACCAGATGTGCAAGTATCTTTCCGTATGAACACGATGGCGTCATCCATTAAGGAACGCAGGACAGAGTATGGAATGTGTCACAATTTAAAAGCTTTTTTTTTTTTTTTGTTTTTTTATTCCATTTGGGATATATCCTCCCAATATTACATGCAATTTTTAAAGTGTACATTTTTTTTTTTTTTTTTGCGCAATACGATTGCATCGTTGTATTGTATGTGCACGTATTTACATTTTTACGTCACTCACCATTTGGCTTGTTGTTTATAACCCATTTAGATAATTATGGTTTTGTGTAACTTTGTCAACAGAGTGTTCACCGCTCGCGTAGCGTTCACGTAGCTCTGACGCATCACGCATGAATCACTCGATTATTTTCCATTTGTTAACATGAGGGGAAGGTACGGTAAAATGGGTCCCTTGTTTGAGAGATGTGCAGGGCGGTATGTTGGGAGCAGATTGTGTTGTCGCGCAAGTGGTGCGTCTTAGGCACTTAGCCCCCTTCCCCCAATAGGTAATTGTTCCAGAGCGGAAGGGGAACTCTCAATAAAAGCACTTGCCAAAATGAGTGAACGAGAAAATTGATGCTAAACGAATGTGTGCAGAAAAGGGGAAAAAAAGGCTTTCCTTTTTTTATTATAAATGGATAGCACAGCTGTTTAGTGCTTAATTACATTTTCTACACCCCTAAGTTGGCGGAACGGTTATAATAAAAATTGCGTCGTCGATTTTTTTTTTTTTTTTTTCGAAGGTTCTTTTCCCCTTGCACGTTTATTATATGTATGTATGAAGAATGTGTGAGCGTGAGTTCTTTTTTTTTTTTTTTACATAAACCGAGGACGGAAGCAAATTGTTTAACTTTGCCCCCCCGCTGGAACGCATCTGATATGTTTTTTATGTTGCGTTTTTCCCTCCTGCTGAGTCATTTTCGAATTGAACAATTTCCTCCTTTTTCGAAAATGTTCGTAGCGAACACAGGTAGGAGGTAAACTGGGCGCTGTTTTCAAAGTGGCATTTTCAATGGCCATATTGTTCTTCTTCTCGGTGGCCCTGCGACCAGTTGCCATCGACGTGTAAAATCAAGATGAACGCCACAGGGAAGGAGAAGCGACTGTCGCTCCTTATATGTCGCGTCAACATGCTCATAAATTTGCTTCAAAGCAGATTAGCGTTTCCACTGATATACCCATTCAACACCACCGCCCTGAACAATGAAAAGTCGCTAGAATTGTACTTAAAGAAATTAAGAAAGGATGGGAATTTTAACGAAGAAGCTTTTATGAAGACACTGGCTTTTATAACACCATCCATCATAACCCTAACGAAGTTAGTCCATATTTTGAAGGCAGGCCATTCTTTATGTAATTACTCTGGCATGTCTACCAAGTTAGGATATATGGACCGGAGGCGAAGTGCTAGTGTGTTAAAGCAACATGAGACAAAGTTGCACTTGTTGAAACCACAGGTGTGGAGATTGTTAAAGCCTAATGATGAAATGAACACGAAGCATTTGAGGTGGAGGAAGTGACAACGCAGGAGGAAACGGGGTCGAAGTGTGCACCAAGTTTGCGCGAAGCATGCACGAAGTCTGCAAGAACTATTTGTGCGGGTCCCCTATACAGCAGGGAGCAAGGGGAGAAAATTTGGGAAAACAAAATGGGGTAAAAAACGAAATGGGTTAAGATGAAACAAAATAAAGTGCAAACTGTTATGCAAAATGAACGATTTAACAGCATGTGGAGAGAGACACGGGGAAGGATCTTCTATCCCCTATTGCTGAAGTGACAAGTGACGCAAATTAATTAGCGGTTCACTATGTCATTCGCTTTTGTGTATGGTGATCAAATTACCAGAAGACCCCCTCATCGGGTGAAGGATAAAATTGTGCCATAACAATTGGAAGCTCTTGCATGCGCGACGAGTTGGGAGAGGGTTAGTGATATATTGGTAGCTTTCTCTTTTTCCTTGACCATGTAGCGCTGCATGTTGATAGGGGATGTGGGTTCGCTACGTTAAGACTGCAGTAATTGGGGGCGCTTCTTCTCATGACGAATTCACTTTATGTCAACGCCGAGTTTTTTAAATATATCTTTTATATTTTTATGTCTGTCCAGTATTTTAAGAAATTTCATTTTAATTCTGGGGTCCCTAAGCAGAACGGGCTTGTTGACAATTTTGCACACGTCTAAATCATTTTTATGACCATCCTCTGAAAACTCCTTCCATCCAACCAAATTGAATTTGTAGCAGGTGCAGTCTTCAAACTGGGAGTTTTTACTGGGCACGCCATTTTCGTTGTCCTGCTCGAGATTGATGTTACTATCCATGTGGCTGCTACTCAGGTTTGCATTACCACTGGTTATACTTTCTTTATGGTTTGAAATTTGGTCTCCATAGGCTACGTCAAAATTTTCATCGTGGTGCAAATTTACCTGGTAGTCATTTGTGTCCATGTTGTTTTCCATGCCGTCCATATGTATATCATTTTTATTGTTATAACGGTGGAGGGCGTGATTCGTGTCGTAGAGGTCGTTGGGATGATGACCTGGTCGGTTATACGAATTCATTACCATATTATCTTCATTGTCATAATTGTTCATGGGATCGTATGGGTTTTGTTCTTCTCCGTCAATGTCGTAGCCGTGGCTGTTCAGATGATCTCGTGGGTCATACTGGTTGTAGTCGTCATGGTGGTCCATGTTTGGCTCGAAACTTGGATCGTAGTTGGGGTCGTGGTTTGCGTCATAGTTTGCCTCTTGTTGATACTCACCCCTAGCACCGCCTGATGCGTAACCATCAGCACGCCTTCTTCCGGTACCCTTTTGATTGTTCCTTTTGTTGGTCCTCTCCCCTGGTTTAGAAGAAACGTACATATCATTCTTCACCGCGTTCAGGTTGCTGGGCATAGCAGCGACATCGTTTCCGCTAATGTCATTAACAATACCGTCAACCCCGGTGTTGCTCGTGTTGTTGGTTTTGTAGAGCCTGTTGGTAGTTCTGTTAATTTGGTTTTTATCCTGTGTGTGCACATTTTTTGTGGTAGCATTTTTGGATCCCCCTTTTGGCCCAGCTATGATATCTCCTTTGACTGTAGTGTCAAGGGACATGTCGTTATTTTCCCTAACTCCTTGCTCATTTTCGTTTTCATTGTCTTTTTCGTTTTCCTTTTCGTTTTCCTTTTCCTTTGCGTTTAGGTTACCGTTGGCGTCGGTTGTGGCTGCATTATTGGCGGCATTTGTAGCTTCGTAATCATCCACGTGCTTGGAGGGGGCCCTAGAGGAGACAGTTTTTCGGTTTCTAAAATGATCTTCAAATGTATTTTTGTCACCCCTCTTGTACTGTTTCCCCCCTTTGGTTTGAGTAGCCCGTACATTTTTGGCATCCATTTTTTTCTTTTGCAATTTATTTTTTTCTTCTTTCAGTAGGGTTATGTAATTGTACAATGCATGTTGCTCGTCTATCTCTTTGGACTTACTTTCCTGTGATACATTAAAGAGGGTGAAGCTGTGTCTGTCCTGGTCGTTTTCATTTAAATATATGTTCGACTGTATATCAGCAAAGAGATGTGAACAGTGATCATACAACTTTTTATTTACAGATGGGATGGAGATGCTCGCATTCATGTTCTTCATTGTGATGAGGTAGTTGTCGTCTATGTGTTGGTGGGACTCAAAGGACTTGGTAACTATGTTAAGAATGTTGGGGGCGTAAAAAACGTCGCTCAGTTTTTTAAACAGGAAATGGTTATTTATTGTGACGTTTGCGTCGTTGAAGATGGAGTAGCACAGGGAGGGGCAATCCTTGGTGTGGGTGGCGGAGGGGTCAGACACAGCTAGGTCGTTTGTCATCAGCGCATTATTGGCAGATCGCTCATCCTCGACACTGCAAATATCCTCCTTGGGCTCATTATCGTTATCTACTTCAGCTTCCACCCCATCGTCTTCCCCGTTGCGTCGTCTCCTCTTTTGGTTAGCTTCTCCCCCGGGAACCTGCACAGCTAAGAAGCTTCTCTTCGCAGTTTGGGCTCGATAAATATTCTTCAACTCATTCATCTCGTAGCATACGAAAAGGAGAAAGGTCTTGAACGTGATAGTAGGCACGAAGCATGCATTCAAAGTGAGTACACGTTCCTTTACCGACTTCACTTTGCTGATAAGATTTAAAACGGCTATTGAGAGGAGGTGCAAGGGGGGCTCTGCATCACTTGTTCCTATGGCATCGTTTGGTTTGTTCCTATTCATATATGCGGATTGATTCGCGTCTTCGTCCTGTTGTTCTGCTTTGACATCCAGCTTCATCGTATTCATGTCGGTGCTTCCTTCCGGCTCATCAGCACAGTCGTCTCCCTTTCCGCTTTGAAAGTTGTCTCCAGTGGGATCGTTAAATGGGTCCACTTGCTGTGACTGGTCATGCAGTTTTTTTTTCAACGAGCTATGCAGATTTTCCAAACTGTTGAGAAGGCTAGATAGGAAGTTCTTCTTGAAGTCATCCACATTGGGTAGGAGCATTGTCTTTTTTTTTTTTTTTTCAAAAGTGTTTACTTTGTTTCCGTTTTTATCTTTACATTCGGTACTGCTCGAATTGTTCTGCGCTAAATTGTGTCCTTCTCCTGTTGTTTGGCTAAGTCGCTCGGCTCGGTGCATCCTCATCACCCTGTTTACGTGCCGAGTGACTGGTGACGCATCGGGGGAGACCAAGTGGTGGAGAATGAAGAGCGAATTGAAGTTGTAATCAACAATCCGCAAAATTATACTTATTATTATATCTATCACATTTATGTATTGATAAAGCTCAATAATTTTATAATTCATATCTTGGATGACGTTGCACAAGCAGGAGAAAAAGTCGAGCAGGTAGGAGAGGTTTATGTGCCTGTTTGGCTTTAGGTAGAAGTCGAATAGGTGAATGAAGGCCATTTCAGTTTCTTCAAAAGAGGTTGATGCGGGAAGCAGCTGGGCTGTTTGTGCGTCACCCTTTTGTTTGGTCCCTGAATACTCCTTGCTAAATAGGAATGGGCCTCTTCCTTCTTTCCCATTTTTGCACTTGTGTATGTACCTAAAGAATAAGTTGGCTAACCCCCTCTGAACTTTGAAGAAGGAGAAAAAAAAGAAAACTCGATTCTTCACAATTTCATAAATATTTATTAAACACAAATGTACCGTTTTGAGATCCACGTAATGATCATATTTGTAGAGCACTTTTTTTTTGTTTTCATCGTCGATGACATTTTTCGTGTTTATTAATTCGGCATAATATTGAATAAAAAATTTTATATACTTTACGTAGTTAGGGCATGAAAGGAATACTTTCTGGTTGAGGGAGGATTCGTCGTTGGTACTTGTGTTGGCATTCTCTTTTTGCTCGTCTTGACACGAAGTGATGTGATCTGCGGGTTTTCGTTTCTTTTGTATGAAGAGGCACTCCTGTGGCTGCAATGGTGCGTATTCATTTGGCCTTTCACGTGGAGAGGTTGCGAGGAGGGTGTTTCTCTGACTGTGCAAAATGGTGTGCTTGTTAAAGAACACGAAGAGCACATAAGTATATCCTCGGAAAATCGTGGCGGACAGCTTCACCACATAGCGTATGAGCTCTTGTGGAACAACATCATTCAAGTTACGTATCAAGTCGTATAGGACATCAAGAAGCTTCTTCGCTGGCAAGTAAATGAGTCTTATTAACCTATTGTAAGTATTTTTATAGCTGTTAAAAAAAGACATGTGGAAAATGTCCAATAGGAAGGAAAAAAAGTTGGAGAGCTCCTTCAAGAGGTATATTTCCTTATTGAATGTGTAAAAAATGTTACTCAGTTGAGTGCTGTTGTAGGAATAGAATGAGTAGAAGTTTATTTTGTTCATGCATATGCTTGTCTGGTCGTCGTTACTATTCGTGTTATACATGTTTATCTTTTTTAACTGGTTCATAATGCTATATATGTGATTAAAGAGGATCGAAAAGATAGGGATTCTGTGATTAAGAAGTAGAACACAACAATACGTACTTAAAGCGCGACCAATTACGTTGTTCGTTTTACTTATTCTTACAATGAAGTTGATATAATCACACAGATCTTCCAAATTGGTATATTCTCGTATTTTCAATTCCCTTTTTATTAGATATATTTTTTCTCTTTCCACTTGGCTTAACCTGCTTAGATTGATATGCTGCTCTGCGAGGTGCTCATTTCTCCTGATCCTTTTTAGGATGTGTTCCGCACAATTTTCCTCGATTTCGTTTACAAAATTTCTAATTGCATACGGGCACGTCACGCGGATGGAGGTGGTTTTTTTCCTTGTTGCTTCCAACCCCAGCTGTGAGGAGTAGTCTTCTCCCCAAAGGGGTTTATTCGATTTCTCATCCGTGTTGTCGCTATTTGGGCGATAGAATTCGTTATCATTGGCAGCACCAGGATCATCACTATTGGGTCCTTCGTCCGTGGTCATCCTTCTCCCCGCGGATTTGAAATTCTGGAAGGAGAAACTGTTTTGAGGGCTGTGGTCATCCTCTTCACTGTTCTGGTCCTTAATTTCTGGGGATAAAAAGGAGGAGATATCTCCCGCTCCTCCGCCAACGTTTACATGTTTGCCGCTGTTCGGATGTAATGACAGTTCTTTCCCTCCTCTGCACACAAGTTTTCGTGTAGATAAGAAGGAGATTCCTTTGGAGTTATTTCCAATGTAATTCTTGGCCAAGCTATCATCATTGAGTATGTTAAAATTGTTAGGGTTATTCGAACCCGCCTCATTATTATTTTCTTTATTAGTTTCTTCTTCTACGTCGCTAAGGTTGAGGGATAAATTTCCTATTAATGACCTGTTATGAGGAGCATACATCTGTGGGGCGTTTTTCTTATCGCCTTGTATCATTTCTTCATGATCATCAGTGGAGTGCGCTAAATTGAGTACTCGGAATTGGTCACAGAGTTGTTCATTTAAAATTCGTTTCATCACATTTATGTCGCAACACAGGTATAACGTTTTGTCTTCATTCTCTTGAAATGCGTCATCCAGTTTGCAGTACATAACGACCCTTTCTAATTTTCCTCCTTGGTTGTCTTCTTCGTCGTTTGGCTGACCCATTTGTTCATTGTACAATTCATCGCTTAATTTTGTGTGGGGGTTTTCATTTAAGTTTTCATTTCCTTCTGTGTTGAATTCATCACGATGGGTAGTATCGGCTGTCGATCTAACTCTACTTAGGCTGTCCTCATGGAGGGATTCTGCGATGTTGTGTTTCTGTTCTCCGTCTTGGTTGGCCACTCCACCATCCTGTTCTTCCTTCTTACTATCTTCCTCCACATCGCTCAAGAAGTTATCGCAGGGGCGATCCAGCTCAAGCGCGTAACGATCAAACGTTTTGCGGTTGTTCCTGCACACCACCCATTTGTCATACGGAGAGGTGCAATATTTGGCAAGGCTCGAGAATTCGTCCTGGTTTACATCGCGCTCGTTTTCTTCTTCCTCTGTTTGAGGGCACCTGCTTGGTTCCAGACCTGCCGAGTGGGCTTCTTCCCCATTCGCCATATGGTCCTGGACCTTTTCATGGTGGGTTTCACCATTTGGTGCGTCCCCTTCTGGGTTGGCTTCCTCATCAAGTTGGTTAGCTACCTCCGATCCCTGTCCGTCATTTTTGTTTTTCTTTCCCTTTCTACCTCTACCCTTGGTTGCAGCACGTTTACCTTTCGTGTGTTTGCCTCCCCTTTTGGGATTTCCCTCTGCTGTGTCCGCTTCTCCCACCACATCAACTGCGCACTCCTGCTTCACCTTATCGACGTCGTCATCTTCGCAATTCTCTTCCGATTCTCCCACGTCGGTTACTTCCTCCCATTCCGAATCTTCCATTTGCATGTCCTGGCCCTGGGGGTCTCCTCTCTGTTGCATTTGATTCTGTTGCTCCTTGGCGAGCTCCTCCAAAGATGCACCCGCTTTGTCAGCGTCGTAGCAAATGCCCTTCAAATTTTTGGCAAGGAAAAAGGAGTAAATATAATCTGGAAAAATATTTTTTAAATCGAAAAAGGTTAGAATCAAGAGCATGCCAGATGTACTAAAGGAAGGTAGAATTCTTGTATACTTCAAAACACAGCGAAAGAGGAAAGACTGGTTATCACTTGTTTTATTAAACCATAAGTAAAAAATGCGAAGCAAATAAATGATGTTATATCTTAGAAGGAAAACCGAAGAATGGTGATTGCACTCCGATGTGTTATTGGATCCCAACCAGTCAGTAAAGCTAAGCAACTTGTTCAACAGAAAAAGGAGAGAGTAAAACAGCTCGCTATTTCTATATGACTTTAAAGAAATAGAATTAGAATTACTTGTTAAATTGTAGAAGAAATTTAAAAGGATGTTTAGAATTGATTTTACTAGGAAGAGTGTTTTTCGTCGATGTTTCAAAATTTTATAGAGTACTCTTCCGCTCATTTTGTTAAAATTGAGGAGAGCCAATTTGAATGTGTTTCCATTTAGGTAGAAGATACACTTGGTTATTAATTTTATTATGAATTCGAGGTTATTTTCCCTGTAGAGTATCGTCCCTATGTTTTTGAAATCTCCATGTTCGTACTTGCTTACGTAATTGGCGTTGGCTAAGAAGGCTCCGTCTTCCTGCTGACCTGAACCACTGAGCAGGGTGTTGTTGTCACCGCCGTTGTTATCGCTGTAATTAGCACTATTGCGGTTTATGTTTTTCCTGTCCTTGGACGTTTCGCCCCGTATAGGCTTGTTCGTCTCATCAATTTTATCATTTTTCAAAAATATATAATTCTTGTGGTGCAGTTCATCGCTATGAAAAACACCTTGCCTGTTAAGGTAAAAAATATCTCCCTCTTGTTGTTGCAGCATGTACTTTTCATCGTCTTCCCCCTCCAGTGCGCCCTTTTCTCTAAGCCCATTTTCATCATATAACTTGGAAAAGAAATTTACATTTGGGCACAAATTCATGTAGTAGTAAAGCAAGTTTAGTGGTAGAAAGGGATATGTGGAAGTGTCTATTTTTCTATGTGGGGGGTAACTCTCTGTGGGGGTATCATCCAATTCTTCTAGCAATTCTACGTATTGGTTATTTGTGCTGCTTCCACTACCGAGGCGAGAGCAATTCTTCGAAGAGTTGTTTATATAAATGTCGTTGTGCAGCTTGCAGTTGTAATTATTTAACTCCTTTGATTTTCTAAGTGCGTACTTGTTATCCTTTTCCACTTTGCAGCTTTCGATTATTTTTGTGACATTTGGTGTGTAGGTTGACTTTAGGGGTGGTAAGTCCAGGTACATTTTTTCCTTTTTCTTTATGCGTTCCTTGATTTGGTCTAGCAGGCTTTGCGCAGGGGCGCTGAGGTCTTCCTCCTGTTTGTTAGCGGCCTCGTGTGTGTTACTAAGCACGTTGAGGAGCTTACCTTCGTAGAGCTCCTTCTTTCTCGCGGGGGACATTTCGTTGAACTTCTTCTTCTCATAGCGATAGAGCTCGGAGTACAATCCCTTCAAGTTGTCATACAGGTAGAAGTAGTTATTATAAAACAGTTTGTCGTTACTTAGATAATTTTTCAGAAGAATTTTGTTTGGAAAAATATTATTCAGATTACCAAAGGAGTAGTCTTTGTTCATTTTCACCTCCCCAGTAATGTTTTTCATTTCTTCCAGGCACACATATATGGAGTAGCCCAGGTGGTACACATAGTGCCCAGATTCATCGTAAAAAATTAAATTGTAAATAATTCCAATGAGGTATCTGATGGTGACTAAGATGCATTCGTTGGTGTTGCTGCTCACATGAGAGTTGCTCAGTGGGTTTGTTTTATCCATATCGGTTAATGTGTCTATTGGGGATGACTGTGCCTCATTACGCTTTCCCTCCGTGTCGTTGTCTAGGTCTTCTCTCCCTTCGTCTTCTTGGCCATGATTCGTACAATTGGACTTGGTACTTGTTGGGTCCCCAGTAAGAAGACCTTCTTCGTATAACTTTTCCATGTAGATAAAGTAATACAACAAATGAATGAGATGCAGGAACAAGTAATAAAAATTATCATTGTTGAAGAGGGCTAACTTTGGCAGGGGATAAGAACTTAGGACGTTAAAAAATTTTAAATGTTCCAAGGATATGTTACCTCCAGAATTGAAGAAGAGTTCAATTAGGAGGTTCGTCTTGAAAAAGGTCTTCAAGGCGCATAATATGTATGAGCAGTAATTTCTAGCATTCTTCATATCTTTGTAGTTAAACCCATCGAGGTACTGATCGTCTGAAAGGTCCCTGTTCCTCAACACATCGTTGTAGGTGTACATGCACTTGGAGTTGTCATAGAAGAAGTTCTTCTCGTTGAATATGAAATTGTGTTTCATATTCTCCGCGCTTGCGTTTGGGTCATCCCTTTCGTAAGGGGAGTTGGCTGCGGCAAGGTTCCCTCCTACTGCTCCTACTCCGCTGTACGCGTTATCCATATTGCCCCTGGTACCTACACCCCCTTCGTCGATTGTGTCGTCCTCCTCGGGCAGGGTCTTGGTCCCCCTGACTTGACCACGTTCGCCATATGGGTCCTCAAAGTCGTAGGAGGATGGGTCATTTTCAGTGGCCTTCTCCGTCCTGCCATCTTTCGCTTCACTCGCGCTGTCATACGAATTTGATGCAGATTCATTTGACTTTGTTTTAAAGAGTTGAATTTTGGCCCCGACATTTGAAAGCTCAGGATTGTCCGCGCCTTTGTTTCTGGTGGAATCGATCATTTGGTCAGTGCCTGGGCCATCCTCTTGCCCTGTCATCAAGTGATTTACCTTTCCATTGAGCTCTTTCATTTTTTTATTTATAAGTAGACATATGCTTTTGTACAATTTCTCGAAAATCGTGAAATTGTAATTTAGTAGGAAATTAATTCCACCTGAACAGTTCAGGAAATAAAAGAGAAAGTCGTTCACAGCCGTTACAAAAGCAATGTCATACGAATTTAAAAATAGGGAGCTTTTTAAATAAATTTCGAATTCTTTTAAAATGTATAGAAAAAGAATGAAAAATTTATTTCGCTTTAAATACGAAAGGACATAATGATGTAATTTGTGCAGGTAATAATTTTTTTTTTTTTTCTTTTTTTCATCTAAAATAAAAATTTCCTCTTCGTATGGTTCGTCGTAGCAACTGTTTTTACTCTCTGGTCTACAGCTGTGTTGAAATAATTCTTTGTGTACATTCTTCAACTCATATATTAGCTTAGACGTGACGGATTGGTTAAAGAGCTTCTTATCGTAGCTCTTCCTCTGCGCGACGATGTGCATTACGGCCCTTTCGAAGCTGCTGATGTGTTCATACAACTTCACTCTGCAGAGGATAATTCCGAGCAGCCTCTTCACGTTGTACCTACGGTGGGGATGGCAATGCGGAATGGGCATATGTGGAAAACTTGGTGAAAACACCACTGCGTTCAGACAACATCACGCCACAGGGTAGCTACTGCTAGGCCAAAAAAAAGGACCCGCGGGGCTACGCGGACGGCTTGGCTTACCTCTTCATTTTGTTGCTTTCGGACAGCTTGAGCAATTTCTGGTACGGGGTTTCTCCATTCTCGTCCATCTGCAGGGGGGAGAAAAAAAAAAAAAAAAAAAAATGAGTAACAGAATAATACGCGTTATCATTTGTTGTTCGCTTTCCCTGCGCTGCTGACTGGACAGGCGCGGTCGGACACACCACATGCACACGTTCACTCATACTGGGAAAATGTGTATTTGCACAGTGCCACGTCGCACTTGCCCCAATTGCTGTTCCCACCCCAAAAAGAACAAAACAAAATTGCAGATTTGAGAAGCAGTTTCGCGGTACCCCCCACTGTCTAGCTTCATAAATATGCATTCTCGCATGGATGTGAAAATTTAGGCGAAAGTTTTCAAATAGGCTTCATCTCCCCTTCGCGGAATGTTGTTCCCAGATGAGAAAAGAGAAGAGGCAAACTCACAAAATGGCGCAGCGTGCTTTACGTAGCAAACAAGTGAACTGGCGCAGGTGTGCTCGGGGGGTGGCGAGAGTGATGATGATGGTGCAAGAACGAAGGTGTCGAGTGGGGATGAGTAAGACAAAACGGAAAACAAATGAGTCATTTAAAATGCGTTGGGCACGTAAACCGTGTGGTCGTTGTATGGCGGGGGCAAAAATATACTAGGCAATGGGACCTAAATGGAGCGGGAAGGCCCGCATCGTATTGTTTGCCTCACGCAGGACATCTAGAAAAAAATGAAACAAAAAAAAAATTGCCTTCTGTGTGCTTACAAAACATACATAAGAATGGTGGGACAACGCGCAAGGCGATCTTCCACAACGCTGCACCAGATAGACATGTTTGTGCTGCACAACACAATCGGAAGCCAATACAAACACACGAACGCGCTTCTCTACATGGCATATATATAGGAATGTACGCTCAGGGGGGGAAACGCGCAAAATGGTTGGGGCCCAGCAGGGCGTATCTCTAGAAGCACACGAGCGCCTCTCTCGTTTTTTTTTTTTTTTTTTCAACTTACATAGCTGCAAAAGTGGCTCATGACGTAGGCATCTGATATCAGCGCGATGAGCGATTTCAAAATGGAGGTCTTAATTTTCCAGGAGGAAAAGAAGTAAACATTATTAACACTGAGCATGTCAACTAAATTGATCAGGACATGGGGACGTTGGGTGTCCATATAAATCATATGCGCATTAAAATTCATATGAATTAGGTCTTTGGCTAGTTCGGAATACAGTGCACATCTCCTAAGTAATAACAAACAGCCTAATATATCGTAGGTCTTAATTTCGGTGTACTTTGCATAGTTCAAAAGGAAGTTGTTTTGATCTTTTTTTATTTGATTTAAAATGTAGAACATCCACATCATTCCATATTTAATAATTTTCCTACAGGTTATAGAATTATCCTTGGAAATGTGTTTTTTTATTTTGTACATTTCAGTAAACTCGTTTAGTATCTTTATTATGAGTTCATTATCGGGTGGTATGAAGGATGGCATGGTGTCTTTTTTGGAGGAAGTTGTTTCACTTTCCTCTCCACTCATGTCATGCACATCACTGTTGTGTTCTTCTGTTTGTTTTTCTTGTTGTGATTCGATGTTTTCTCCACTTGTTTGCTTCCCCTCTAGGGGATTATTATGACTTGTTTCATTTTCTTCGCTTTTCACGGCATCATCACAATTTGAGTTTCCAATCTGATGCGCATTATTTTTTAGGAACTGTTCCTCTAGGAGGTCACACAGGTGGTTCAGTTGTAGGAGATGCTGTGGGTAGCGCGCTTCTCCAGTTTGGCCCATTTGACCAATTCCACCAAGTTTGCTTCTTCCGACCCCTTCATCCTGGGCACCCCCGAGGGGCCAATCAATTTTTTCAAAATAATTTCCCTCACTGGGCTGATTCGAAATGAGCTTCTCATCAATGAGCGTGTTAATGTTATACGTCCTGATATCGACTGGTCTCCTGGGGACATAGAAGTCGTCCTTCTCCAGGTCTATATTTTCAACGTCGAGTGTATCTTCGCCGATCTTGCTCCTGAGGTTTCCGTCGAGGAGGTTTTCTCGGTAGGATCTGCACAAAAGGGTGTATGTATGATGGGTGGTATGTAAAATTGTTACTGCGACATGGGCTGTGTGTGTGTGTGTAAAAGGTTAGCCCGCGCGTTAAATAGTGAGCAAGGGATGAATTGGTAATAAACAGTTGACGGCCGCTTCCCTACTATGTACTTACATTAACGCTTCGGTTATTTCCTCCGGTTGGCCTAGAACGATGAGAGAGAGGGTTTTGAAATTGCCCTTGATAATTATTTTGTCCACGAGGAGAGATGAATCGACAACGGAGGAGCTACTTGGCGTAGCAAAGAGAAGCCGATTTTTAAAATTATAGGACACAGGATAAAGTTGCTTATAATATTGAGGGGTGGACTTATTTATTACATTAACGTATATGCACAAATTACAATCGTTAGGAGAGGGATTAGTCTTTCCCTCAAATTCTAAATTGTTAAAAATTTTATCATTATTGGAAAGGATAAGAATGGCAGATAACTGAACTAGATGATTTGTAAAATTGACTTCTTCAACAAAAGAAGGGAAGGGAGAGTTGCTCACTTCTGTAACAACATTTGTGTCATTACTTCTATACACAGTTTCGTTAAATTTGTGTTGATTTTTTATATCCTCTTCTGTTTTTTCTATATGAAATGAACAGACGGATGTTTGTGAATTTATAAAAGTGTTATAATTAATATTGTCATGACCAAAGTAATTTTTTTTATACACTGTAGTTCTTGTATTTTCCTTGCTACCTCTAGTGATGTTATTTTTATTAAAATACACTTGGTTGTTTTTTATATTTTCTGCCTTCATATGTTGATGGGTACTATTTAGGGATAAATTACCAAAGCTCATCATCCCATGATTTCCCTTTTTTGTCCGGAGGTCATTATTTCGTTTATGAAATTTATTAATATATCTGTTGTTATATACTGATGCGGGATGTTTTGCATTTCTTCCATACTTCCTATTCCTTTGACTCGATGGGTTTTTTGCTCCCACAGCTCGTTTCCCCTCCTCCTCATGCTCCTTCTTCTCCTTGCTCAGGTACATTTTTCCAGCAGCGCATATAATAGCAGTCGTTATGCGGAAGGGGGCTATGTGTAGGAACAGCGGGAGAGTGTGTTCTCCCGACGTTTGTACCTATATGTGTGCCCCTTCCCGCTTTTACGCGTGGACACGTTTTGCAGATGTGCTACTGTGGGGGAAATTCCCACATGTACAAGTGGTGGTGTTCACTCAGGAAGGGGGTTAGAAAAAGCAACATACGTGTGCTCGTCTCCCTTGCCTCGGCACACAACGGAGCAAAGTATATTTGTCCCTTTTACCGTTGGTGAAGGTATGCGTCGAGGGGGAGAAACACATAGAAGGCGGTACAAAAACATATGCATGAGATGCAGCAACACAGGGGGGTGGTGTGGTAAATAAAATGCATACGCACGAATGTAGAAGTGTATTTAACAAAAAGGGGTACTCGTGGAATGATTAATGGGATGAGATGTGGGCAGGTAATGGGTGAAAAAAAAAAGAAAATGCCTCGTTGAGCTTTTCTCTTTTTTTTTTTTTTTTTCCTTCCTGCGAGAAACGTTTAACCGAATGACCGAATGGGCAGGGTTGCTCACCGTCCTGCCTTTGCTCGTCCGGTGGTCAGGCTCAGTCCCTTGACTGTGCGACAGGTCCACGGAGAAAAACGCTTTTAACGGCCGCTTTCGCGCCAAGCTGTAGAATGGGGGCCGCTCATGCATAGGCTCATTTTGCAGAGTTAATTATTTTCAGTTAAAAATGTTGCGTTTTTCACGTATGCCGAATACGTGGAGTTGGTACATGGTGGGAAATTTAAATAAAAAAAAAAAAAAAAAAAAATACTGTCACAAAACATGGGTCAAACAGTTCTATGTAAAAACGTTCGAGAAATTTACGTGTGGCCAGTAAAAAACAGGGGGAAGTACATAAAGGGGGTACAAAAAAACACGAAAGTGCAAAGCAAACGTAAGTGAGAGGTAATATAAAAAAGCTGTCGCCGTGGTATGCGCAGTTTTGCAGAGCTTATGCAAGTTTGGCTTGGAAAGGAAATTGACCTCGTTCCATTTGCGACGGGAAATATGCAGTGTACAAAACAATACGACAGGGCAAAAATGCAAATGCTACATTCGTATAATGCATAAACCGTAACACTTCCCATACGACGTTTGACCGGCTGTTTATGTATGTGGCACAGTCAATTTGTGCTTTTGGCGCACGGCGTGCCAGAGCATGGCTTAAAAAAAAAAAAAATAAATATTCTCATGCGGCCTACAAAATCAGTACATGTTAAAATATACGTGTGGCAATTATATGGCTGGGGAATTGTGGGGAAGGAAAAAAAAAAAAATAAAATATAAAAAAAAAACAGGCAGCCAGTGCAGCAAAAAAAAAAAAAACAAGGAAAAAACAACAAAAAAATGAGGAAAATAAAAAAGAACAAAAGTAAAGGGGAAAAAAGAATAACACCTTTTAAGAACCCTTCAGCGGGCATACTTTCAAATAACACATTGACACGCGCGTGTTGCATTTGCAAGTGTATGAAAATGGTGAAAAAAAAAATGACGAAAACAAAATGGCGCAAAAGGCGCTTATGTAAATAAAAGTTGCAGCGGGAACGGAACTCCAGGGGATAGAAGGCGAGGGGGACAACTGCCGATTAGCGAGTGTATTGTTTCTCGTGATTTATTTTTTATTCTTTTTTTTTTTTTGCTGTACCTCCCTCCAAAACATTTCCAAGTAGTAAATTCTCTGGGGGGCACAGTGGGTCCTATTGAGGTGTGTCTCGCATGGGTACATATACCCACATAACTTGGGTGACGCGCGCGCAACGTTACTTAATTGGGAATATATATGCACAAAAAAAAGTGGCACAGTTTTGTCTGCGTACTCTGCTGTGCTGGAATGAGGAGAACCCTGTAGCGAAAGGGCTAGGCTGCACGTTCCATATGAACGTAAAAATGCTCACACTAGAGAGGGAAACATTACTGGAACTCCCATGTGTTGTAGGGCGTCGCGTGGCCCATGTTTACGCGTCTCCATCTTGTGCACATTTTGTGCGTGAACCCCCATGCAGTTATTCTTGTAGCTGCCTTTGGCAGTGTTGTAATATGTGCGGGTGGCATAAAAACGGGGGAAACAGAGAGGAGATGCTCCACTTCTTATACATTCGAACCAGGGCCCTACATAAGCGTATTTGTTCTTTCGTAAAAAGGGGCAGATTCAAGGCAACAAACTGCCACAACTGCAACAACTACGTAAACTTCGCTGCAAACGTGAGAGGCATTCCTCAATCGAGCATGCAGTGTGTATGAAATGTTGCTACGCTGTGGACCGTTTTTATTTTGTAGGCCAACTTTTTGACATGCTTTGGGGGGCCAATAATGAGGAGGAAGGCATTCTCATTTGGGGGATAGTCCCTATCCACCCCCCGTTCGTGTTAAGTGTTCCCTTTTTACTAGGGAAGCATATTCCGTTGACAAAAGGTGATAAAAAAAAAAAAAAAAAAAGTTATTTCCATCGTTGGGAACTTAAAAGAGAAAAGGGGTGCACCGCGCGGTAATGTCGCCACGTGGAGGACAAAGGACAAACATGAAACGGAAAGGGCGAATGATGAAGCATATGGAAAGGAGAAAGAGTAGGGGGTGTGAAGTGTTCACGGAGTGACTCACTTCGTATAGCTAACAAGATGTGGCAGAAGCACGGCCAACCCCACATTATGTCCGAAGCTCACATTCGATTTGCAATCAGGATGGGATGCATGTGTAGCAAAATGGCGTGTAAAAATGACGCAGCAATAAATGTGAGCAGATGGATGTACATCTCGAATCGCATCTTTTTTTTTGGGAGGGGTAGGGAATTCCCTTCTCATAAGGAGATTCTCTCAACAGGGGACTGTGTGTGTGGGGGGGAGGAGGCTGGCGGTGCAACTCAGGAGAAGAGGAAAAACGGAGAAGAGTCAGGACTTGAACAACTCTTCCAAAATATAGCCAATAGTGTTTGGGTAAGACAAATGAGAAGCAAAATAAAGGTGTATACATTTAACGGTTAAGAAATTTGAAATTCCTCCAATTCCTTTAACCCGTAAAGTGTTTATTTTGCGAAGGATCTCGGTAATCACTTGAGAGTCAATCTGATAGGTATGTGTGAATTTATTTAAAATGTGGGGGGAGAAGTCAAATGAACTTGTATAAATGGAAGATATAGAATCGTTGCCCTCATCCGGTGTGAACTGTTTCTTAAAATTAAGGCTATTTAAAAATAGGTTGTAAAAGAAGCGCAAGATCCTTTTGTGGATATGTCTTAATCGAATTATTATATATTTGAGATGGTCATAAATGAGATAATATCTGAGTAGGCGGAATTCTTCTTCCTTTTTGCAATTTATAAAGTATTCTATCTTTTTTATTATATTCATTTTTTCCAAGTGGGAAATGTACCCACACATATTTTTATTTATTAGCCAATAGACTGTTGGGAAGGGTCTTATGCACTTGAGGAGGGTTAATTCGTTTTGAACATCCGATTTGTCTTTTGCTTTACTTATATATTTCGATTCCATGTCAGATGGAAGATCTGTGTTTTTTAATTGTTGGTAATGATTGTGTTCATCCTTTTCACTTCCTTTTTCCATATCTTTGTAGCCAACCATTATCGTGCTTTTAGTGCAATCAGCCAATTCTTCATTCGTTTTTTTTAAAAGTTTTGTTTTTTTTTGCAATTCGTTCGAGTTGGATTGGATGTATGGTACGTGTTGGGGAGGGGAATTTACAGTTTCGTCTTGTATCCCGTTTGTGGCCTGCCGACAGATGGTAGGGTTCGCTGACATGGCAGTCTGCGTGGAGATACTATCCTGCGTCGTTATGGTGGCCTGTGTCGTGAATGACTTGAGGGACGTAATCGATCCCATGGAAGTGAACTCCCCGTTGATGTTGGATGAGGTGTACTTCCCACCCGAAGGTAAAGCCACTTCCATTTTGTCACCGTCATGAAGATTGTGGTTTCCTTCAACTTTTCCAACAGAAGTTTCCCCCCGTTTAAACTCCTCAAGATCATTTTGCTTAGCATCTGATGGATGCGTATCGTTCGCCTGCTTCTTTTCTTCCTTCTCATGCAGGTTGGAGGAACTAGTTTTAATCTCCTGAACATTGTGATGAGAGGCACTCGAGTTCGGTTGAGCATGAAAGGAGGATGCGGTGGAGGCGGAGACGTGGGTGGTTTTATCCTGCCCTTCTTCTAGCAAGTAGTCTCTGCATGAGTCAATTTTTTGCATCAGGTATTTGTGAAATGTCTTGTCCATTTTATTTTCGAAGATCATCAGGAATAGTAGGTAATCGATGGTGAGTTCGTCGAAGGGGGGGTCGTCGTCTGGCTCGCACGCTTGGCTGGCCTGCAGCGGTGCGGGTGGCTGGGCAGAGTCATTGCACCGTCTTGACCTCTCCAAGCGCGCGTCCTCCCCACGCTTGCCACTCTCCAAACAATGACTTGTGAACAAATTGGAGAGCGGTGTCTTTTGCGAATACAAAAAGCGATTAATAAAATACAAGACGTTAATCCTTTTCTCATCGTCTAGAATTTCCAACACATGTTCTTTATTCCTCATCTTGAGCAAATTTTTTTTCTTGGCATTTTTTTTGCCATTCATTTCGCTATCAAATATTTCCTGCTGCTCATAAAGGTCGTCGAGGAAAATGTGTTTTACAATTTCCCTTGCTGCTGCTGTGCTGAAACAGGAATTTATAATATAGTAGATTCCTTGGTTTTTGTAATCAAAATTGGTGATGTTAAAAGCTCTGCAGACTTTTTCAAATATTCTGGTCCAGTCAAAGTTTATGAAGAATGGGGATATGCTAATGGTTCCGATATCTTTTTTTAACATAATTTTTATTTTTCGTAACCCGTTGGGGTCTCGGTTGAGAATGTTGTGTATTTTGTGGAAGTGGTTGAAGCACATGGAGGTCTCGTCGTAAAAGTGGTTTGCGCCGTTCTCCCTGTTATCATAATGGGCGTGGTGCGCTTGGTTAGTGACCTTAACCGCGTTGTGCGGGTTGTCCGTGTTGAACACGCCAGTGTCTGTGGCCCCCACAGGGCAGGCCTTCCCGCCGCTATTGCACAGGCGCGAGTTGTACAGGGAGAGCTTGACGGAGAGGTATTGATTTCGCAGCTTGACGTTTCTATTCCTGTGGGGGTCCTTGCCCGCGTCCTCCCTATTGGTATTCTCGCTGTAGTAGTTATAATCAGATTCATCTTCAGAGTTGCTGCAGTTGGGGTTGTTCAAGCCGAAGTAGCTTGCCGCAGGAACCTTAACAAACGGGTTTCTCAAATTTGAAAATAGTTCAGAGGAATCAGAAACGGATAGATCTGCTTCATTCACCACTTTTTTAAAATCATTTGTAAAAATTTTTGAGTTTTCTTTTGATTCGTGGAAACAACTACAAGAGTTTTTTTGGCGAGAATTACGTATCCCTGAATCGCTGCTATATTTACACACGTTTGTAGGAATGTTTAGAGTCCCTTTTTTTGGTCTCTTCCTTTTTTTTTTTCTTGTTTTTTTTTTATCAAATTTGACGAAGCCTACATTTATATTTAATGGCTCGTTTATGAGTTCGTCCACGCAACACTTGTTGACGTAGTCTGCCACTTTTTTGCTTTTAGGGAATTTAAAAAATTGAAATATTTGTTTGTTACTTAGGTGTTTCGAGAAGAGGGAGTCATTTGTGAAGATTTCCGCTGCGTTGTTCGCGCCCTCGTATGTGTTGTTCAAACCGTGGCATGTCTTGCTCGTCGCATCGCATGTCTTGTTCGCCGCTTTGTAGGTGTCTCTCACCCCTTCGCACGCATCGCTGAACCCCTTGCACGTGTCGCTGTTCAGGGCAGTCAGGTCATGTCGCTGAACTTGCTCCGAGTCTGGCACGAGTTTCGTTGCACAACCCGCAGAGGCAGATGTGCTCGTGTCCTCCCCATTGCAGCAAAAATACTTTTGGTATATTTTTTCCGCTTCAGAAAATATTTCCTTAGACGGAGTTTTTATACTAATGAGTGAATACGAATTGAGGATGGTTCTCAACAGTTCGTACGTTTCCCTTTCGTGTATCTTTACATCATTGGTGATAATAAACTTAAAAATGCAGAACAGATCAAGCGCCTTTAAGAACTTTATTTGCAGCGCGCTTTGTTCATCTGATATATCGAGCATCTTGCCAAGCGTGATTTAGGAGGGGTGGTGTGAAATCGTGGAATGAAAGCGTAGAAGGGTGGTCTGTAGCAGGGCCAGAAAAACATAGCCCGCTCACCCACGCAGTACACGGTGTCCTTCTCCGCTTTTATAAAATAACGGAGAACGAATCTTCATAAAGCGTATAAATAAATAACCTGTGCGAAAAGTATACTATTTGACATTCCTCCAATTTGGTTAAATTAAACAAAACTCAAAAATAAAAAAAAATAATAAATAAATAAAAATGATCTTAAAACCGATTTATGCGATCATTTCTGTATTCGTTTTTGGGTGCTCAGCGCAGCGGGGGGGTAGTTGTTAATTTTTGGGGTCGCTATTCGCAATTTGTTCGCGATACTTTTTTTGTCCCCGCCCCACCACTCCTCACGTTGCGGTGATTATAATTCTTAACTGCCCCGCTAGAGTTTCCCTTTGTGAAGCAATATCCCTAGACTGTGTTAATTTTTTTCTATTGCCCCTGATTATGTCCTGAGTATCTTTTTATATTTTGCGCATTTGCGAAATGATGGGAAAAGGAAGAAAAGAAAAAAGTCGAAATGGCCAGGATGAGGCATAAAAACGATTGGGGTGAACATAAAAAAAAAAAAATAATGGACCAAAAAAATGTTAAAAAAATAAAGAATAGGTAACGTGTTTGTTTTTGTGTGGAGTGAGAACGCTCGTGCAGGAGTTGCTAATTTTTTATTTTCAGCTTTATACCATTTTGTTCTGTTTTGTTGCATTTTATTCCATTTTAATCATGTTTTGTATATATACATATATATATTGTTTTTATGCTGCACATTTGTGTTGACATGTACGCAGTTGTATATATATTGTTCCCCGCACCTCGTGGGGTTAATAAGTGTAATCAAAATGGGCCTGCTTAATTTCATGCGTGAGTGGGTATTCACTCTTCGCACATCAGTAATATATAATATTTCCCTATGCCTACATCGGGCCAGGTAAAATGCGCATAATCTTCTCCCCATTGGGGAGGTAGATGTGGTAAAGTTGTGCGCAATAAGCATATAACGCTGGTACGCTCATGCATGAATTTACCTATACACACGGTAGGACACCCACATTACGTGCAATTCCCCAATAGAGACATACGACACCTGTGCAGTAGGCTTATGACCAAGTGTGCTTATTGTGAACGCGTCCATTTTACGGCTACTCTTTTGCGACTTCGCCGCCATTTTTTTAATATTGTATTTTGAACAAAAAGGTCACAAGGTACACCCTCTTGGGATGGCTGGCAGGAAGAGATACTATCCCTCCTTCACAAATTTGAGTCGCACCGGTCCCCATTTTGAGGGTTCTCTTTTTTGTAGATTAGCACGTCGGTTCTGAACCCATTTTGTTAAATGAAGAAACCGAAAAAAAAGAAAAAGAGGTGCCACAGGGTAATCATGGCAACATGTTGTTATGTGTAGGAACATGTTCTCATATTTTTGCGCTCACATCTATGTGGTCATTTAAATGGACCTCATCACAGCGTAGCTTAATCGTGTTGCTCATCACACACACATGTTATGTTAGTTCGTTTGGAAGAAGTAAGAGGTGAGGAAAATGAAATTGGTTGTGAGGCGGAACGATGCCAAATGGTTCATCTGAACTGAGCAAAGGTGTATTGCTACGTAGATGTGCGCGGGAGTAGACCGGTGTGTTCATATTTCGAGACATGTCATCCTCAACAGTTGGATAATCATTGAGGGAACTTTCCGGGCAACCGCAACACATTCCTCATTGAGCGTTTGTGGCCCCCGAGGCGAGGGAGATACAAAGGAGTTGATGTATCGGGAATAGTGCTTAACGGGGGGGAACAAATTCGAGTTTGTGAGCAAAATGGGGTAAACAAGTATGATCAACGAGGTGGATTAAAAAGAGGCCCACACATCCTGTCCCAGTCTCCGAATACATTCTATGCACAAACGACAATTTTCGTGGAAATAAAAAAATGGTGAAGTTTTTGGAGGCCAAAAGTGTGACCTGTTCAGGCGAAAAAAATTGGGCATAAACAATTCCACTGATGAGAATGTTGGGGTGTGTTTTTTTTTTTGTGCGTATATAGGAAAGGGTGTGGAGCATCCATGGGGTGTGATCTAAGAATTTGCCAAAATATCTGCCCCATGTGCAGGGTTATAGGAACTTGCATTTCCCCCCTTGGTGTGTTATTTTTTAAAAAAGAAACTCAAAGTGGTCGCTAGCATAGCGGGGTGCCGTGCTGTGAGGAGGAAAAGAAAAGTGTAGCGATAAGGTCCCGCGAAGAGGTGTGAAAAAAAAAAAAAACCGACCCCAGAAAAAGAGGCGCGAAAAAAAGTGTAAAGATTCGGTGAGAAGTGTCCGGAAAAAAGTATTAACTCCACATTAAGGAACAACTTTATGTTAGTGAAATTTTTTTACATATGCACATGTGAGGTTTTTTTTTTTTTCTCCTCTCTATATCTTTTGTATCGATTTGTCATATGACATTATATTTTACACGCTTCTCACTGCCCAATTTGGAAATACTATTGTTTACCCTGTGTTGATTCTTCTGCCTTGTTCGGTATATGTGCGTGTGACTCCCTAAGGAGTTTTTTTTTTTTTTTTTTTTTTTTTTGGCCTCCTTAATACAGTACGCGTCGCTTTTGTGCAAGTCTCTCACCACAATTTTTGCGACCCCTCTCGGAAGTAGAAGTGGTGTGTTTAGTCCCCATTTGGAAAACTCCCCAAGAAAACCCCTAGCCCTGTCACCACGCCTGTTTGGTGAAAGCACCCAATTGGACGAAGTGACGACGCGGCGAAGTAACGAAGTCACGAGACGTGAGCCATTTGAAGAAACCCTTTTCCAGTGCAGACGGACAAAATGGAGAAAAGTTTTATCATGGTGAAACCGGATGGAGTTCAGAGGGGACTGGTCGGGACGATCATTGAGCGCTTCGAAAAAAAAGGATACAAGATGATAGCATTAAAAATGTTGAATCCAACGAAAGAAATACTAAAGGAGCATTACAAGGAGTTAGCAGACAAGCCATTTTTTAACACCCTCGTTGAGTATATTAGTAAAGGTCCCGTGGTTGCCATGGTTTGGGAAGGAGCCGAAATTGTAAGTCAGAGCAGGAAACTCATTGGAGAAACGAACCCTTTGAATAGCAACACAGGTACAATTAGGGGCGACTTTTGTCTGGAGGTTAGCCGAAATGTGATTCATGGTAGTGATTCTGTTGCGTCGGCCAATCGGGAAATTAACATTTGGTTTAAGGCCGACGAGTTGGTGCAGTGGAATCACCACTCGAAACCGTGGATCTATGCGTAAGGGGGCGCGAGGTCCGCTTTTTCCTAGGTGGTAGCCACGTGGACATTCCCACTTAATGGGCGCTTTTCCCCCCCCCGTTTGTGCCACTACCATTTTTACCCATAAGAGGAACACACATAAGCACTCACTCCACATGCATCCCTCTGCAACGCCAATTTTTACCCAACCCATAGCTGCACAGAGCTCGTCAAAATGGCGTCTCCAGAGCGGCACGCTGCGGTGTTAATTAAATGACATTTTACAAGAAGTTTGTCCTTCCCCACGCATCCACCCATCAGTGGGGGGGGGCAAAAAAAAAAAAAAAAAAACACGCGTCATAAAAATGAAATAATGCCTTAGTAAGCTTTTTTTGTCTCATTTTCTCTGCACCAATTTAGAGGGTAAACAAGATAGACAAAAAAAAAAAAAGGTGTAGTAATAAATGGATGTTTGTCCAATAAGTCCTTCACGACGCGCACTCAGGTTTGATGTCGCGTGTGTAGCTCTAATTACTAGTGTTCCCTTGGTGTGCCAACATGTACTGCTCCCCATGTGGAACGTTCCCTCTGCACACATGTGACAAAGTCTGGGCGCAGACCCCTACACCCACAACATGCTTATAACATACCCCTCGATTTTTCCTACCCAAAATATTTGAAGAGGAACTGTTGATTATTAATGTGAGTCACCTCCAGTTTGAAAGGTTTATATATGCATATATATATATATATATATGTATAAATTAAAACACCAAAAAAAAAAAAAAAAAAAGAAAAAAAAGAGTGACGAATGAAAGAGGCGTGAATATAAAGTAATGTAATCGCAAAACATGAAAAGAAGGAAAACTTCCAAATGAACACATTTTTAATTATTTAGGCAAATAGCTACGTGCACTTGGGCACATGGGGATATATGTAGACACATACAAAAATGCGTACGTGGACGCAGGGAAAGGCGTTTTTCTTCTGCGTAGCTTGACGTGATTGAACGACATTTTCCCTCGTGGAGGGTTCGCTTGGAAGAAAGTTCGTTTAATCACAAATAAGTTGAGCAGCTGGACGAATTGATTACGCACTGCAAAGGATGGAACTCCTGCGCAAGGGGGCCGACTTTCATACAAATAGGGCTTAACTGGGGTAGCGGCAAAGAGCCTTGGACCTTCATAAGAGGTGCATTGAAAAGAAACTGCCCCTTTGGTGGTTTCCTCTTGTGATCGTGTTTGTGCTTGTTTATGTTTGTTTGCTTGCGTGTGCGGGGTCAGCTATGCCCCAGGATGGGATGCTCCCCAATACAAGTAGTGCATCCCGCGCAAGCTTACCGCTTAATTTGGCACGAAATTTACCAGGAAAAATTGCGCCCCGCCTAGCTCAACGCCTTGACGACCATACTGACGTTGAACTTTTTCAAGTGTGTATATTTCTGACCGACGCCAACGAAGACGATTGGCTTTCCCGTGAGGTATACCATGGACAGGGCTGTGCCTACCTTGTCATCAACGGTGTCAAATTTGGTGAGAAGGATTCCATCGATGGTCCTTTTGTTAGCATTGCAGGTAGCATCTGTTAATGCTTGGTTGAATTTTTTGAGTTGATCAATCGCATCATTACCAACTAATGCTTCTCCAACAAATAAAATAAAATCAGGGTTGTTGATCAGGATAAGTTTTCCTAAGGATCTCATGAGGGGTTCATTATCTTGCATTCTGCCCGCAGTATCAATTAATATGACATTGAAATTTTCTTTCTTTGCATAAGCAATGGCTTCTTTCGCAATAGCTGCTGCGTCTTTTCCATATCCCTTTTCATAAAGGTATACATCTAAGCAATTTGCATGGGTTCTAAGTTGTTCCACTGCACCAGCTCTAAAAGTATCACAAGCAGCGATCATTATTTTTAAATTTCCTTTTGTCTTAAGGTAGTAGCAAACTTTTGCAAGATTTGTTGATTTTCCTACTCCATTAACACCTAAGAAAACAATTGAGTATAATTTCCCAATCGACTTTGCTTCCAAGGCTGCTCGGAGTACATCTACTGATTCTTTTGGTATGAGTATAGATTGGATGGTGTCCGTCAGAACAGTAGAAACAGTTTTCTTAACATTCATAGCGAACAAGGTTTTTTTCTTTCCAATGAGGTTTCCCTTCATCTTGTCAATTAACGTGTCACATATTCCTGCTGCGACATTTTTGGAGAGTAGCTTATTTTTAATTCCTTGTAGGATGGACTCTATATCACTTTCTTCTATTTTACTGTTGTAGGAAAATACTTTCAAAATGGAATCATTTATTTTGTTCAGGAGATTATTATTGGTATCCACATTTCCGTCACTTGAGTCTTCAAATTCTCCTTCGTACTTATTCATTTCATGTACATCGGTGGAATTCTTTTCATGTTTTGAATAATCTAATTTTTCAATATCCTTTTTGGTTATTTTTTTGCTGAGTTCCCATTCCCTAGCACTTTTTTTCTTCGTTTTATTTTTTTTCTTTACATTCGATTCATCGTCCTCCATCATTTTGTTATCCTCATCGCTGCTCTCCTTTTTGTATTTGTCTACCTCCATTTTGTGTGCGCCATGTTTATTCTTTCCCTTCGTTTCATCATAATGTCCTTCGCTCTTGTCTGAATAGCTATCCGCATCTGTGCGTTCACTCGCTCCCGTATCTTCACTTTCATCCGTCAGATCACCCTTCCCTTTATCGCAGCTGCTTTTCTTATCTGCGATGGTTCTTCGTCCCCCTGTGCTGCTTCTCCTTCCGTCTATACTTGCCCGCCTGTCAGCGCCCGCCCCGGTGGAGGATGAAATAGCCTCTACGTCTTCAACGATTTTCAAAAACTGCTTGTCGAAGTTGACGGGGAGATCCAAGTCAAAGTAGTCCATATTTTTGGGCAAGAGCTTTACAAAAGATTTTTTAATTTTTAAAAATAAATTTTCTACATACGAAGAATTTTGTATCCCTTGGTAAACAATGAGGATAACAACATCCACATCGTTTAGTAGCTTCCATTTGGCATGAAATTTATTGTACTTTTTGCAGAAGTCTTCGTACTTCTCCTCTATGAGTACTTGCTTGACGATGGTTCGTATGGTCGCGTCGTCTATTTCGTAGAAGGCGTAGGACCACAGGATGAGGCCCCCCTTGCTGAATATTCTCACCACGTCTATCATTGTAGCGTAGCGTAATAGTGTAAAGCAGCGGTGTAGCGTAGACTAGCGGTGTGATAACCCCCGGGAAAAGACACACCTGCACGTGATTACAAACGTGGAGGGGGCAAACCAACAATCGGATGCACGTGAATGTACATGTGGGGATAAACACTGATGAGCGCATGTACGAATACGCGCGGGGCAGCTCGTGGGATACAGAACTAAAAAGGTTGAAGTAGAACAAACGGGGGCAAGATACACATGCTGGCTCGTGTACGTGCATGTCTCAGGTGGTAGACTTGAAAGAGGACTCACTCCCTTCCCCTCTCAGAAGAAAACTCGATCTTAGTTAAACGGAGTTGATCAAATGATGAAATGATGAAATGAACAGGAGGGGTAAGGCAGAGTGTTATGCACAAAAAATGAGACTAGTGATCGCAAGAGAAAAAAAAAAAAAAAAAAAGGGTGGTGGGAAACAACTACACGGTGGGCTGCATACAGAAAGCAAATGTATCACTTAAATGTTATCAAATTGTGTGGCTTGAAGGAATTTGCAGTGCTCAGCACTTAGTGGTTGCGAATGCGCGTTGGCGTTGGAACACCTGAGCGGGCGAACAAACGAATGGGCTAACGAACGAATAGGCAAACAAACGAATGAGAGGACGGTGGCATGCGCGCACGTATGCGTATGAATTTGCGCACCCGTGAGCCAAGCGCGAACTGCTCGATGGCACGTATGCATACATCCATATGAACGGACGTACTCACAAAAAAATCGCACATACACGGGGATCTCCACTTTCTGACAAAAAAAAGAAAGAAACAGAAAGGAAGAGAAAATTTTAACAATCACTAACGCAAATTTTGTGAAAGAACAAAAATGAAAAAAAATAAAAATACTTGATTACCTCTAAAAAAAAATGGCTTGGCAAAATTGTTTGACCTGACCCCCGCATTTTCAGCAAAAAAAAAAAAAAAAAAAAAAGGCAACTATTTGGGAATACATAAATTGAACAAATTGTGGGATCTTCCTAAATGTTTTAAAAAAAAATTATATTTTTTCGGGCAAGGGCGTAGGAATTTTCGTAGGACAAATTATACAACTGAATGGTTACTAAATGTGATATATGTTTTTTATATGTCCCTTTCTCCAGTGACGCAACACCCACCCTGCTGCTCACATATTTTTTCATGGGAGTTTTTTTTTTTTTTTTTTTTTTTTGTGCTTTACCCATTTGAAGAGCGGACAAAGCTATTTGCATGTAAGGCATAAAAAAAGAGGGTTATACTGAAATTTTTTTTTTTCGTTTTACATTTATGTAGTTCTAGGTTTCAGGGGGAGGAATTTTCTTTTTCGTTTTATTCAGGCATGGATGTATATATGTAATATAGCATGGCCCCCGTCACAGATCTACATTTGTAGATTTGTGAAATTACCAAAAAGGGGGGTTATATAATACAATTGAAGGAAGGACATCACCATGTGGAGCGTTTGGTCTGCAGCCTCACGACTGTCCAAGGTGATTTTGTATACTAATGTGAATACGTTTTACATATTTATCAGATAATGTATGACGCGGGGATGCACTATTATTCCACATATGCTTAAATGGACTTATTACCGAATTCTCTTTGGCGTGTGTCCCCAGGTGAAAAAACTGCGAAACTAGTCCATGTCGTGTTAAGAAAGGGAATACTTGTCCAAAGGCGCAGAAGGTGAGAATTGGGAGGGCCATGGGCGAGCCTCACCCGTATGTGGAAGGTGATCGTTTTCGTCTCACATAGAATTGGCAGTCGTACGATGCATTGGTGGTAAAACAACCTGTAGGCTCCCTTCAACCGCCTGGCAACCCACCGCCGTCCAAAACCGTATATCATATTTTTGTGCACAGAAAAATGAACCCCGACTTAGGAACACCCCTCAAGTTCACGCATGGAATAGAAAATGGGGCCATTGAAATGGGAAACCCCAACCTCACAGTCAGTAGAATAAAAAATCATATAAAGAGGTATCTCGAATTAGATAAAAAATTTTATGAACTGTTCATAAGGGTGTTGGAAATGTCAGAAAATCTACTGAACCATTTTAAGGTAAATTTTAGGGAAGTGAAAAAAGATGTGACATATTATTTATTGAATGACGAAGAATTTTTAAAAAAAAAAAAGGACGAAAACGGTGTACAGGAAAAACTAAATGCTGTTGAGGAAATGATAAGAGAGTTGTCCACAGTGGTGCTGCACGTTGGCCAGAATTGCAAGCAGCTGAGGGAATTGTTTTTGTATCTGTACATGTGCATATTTGAGTCTCCCTCTGATGAGGTGCCTATGGGGGGGTCCCTCAGTGCTCACGGCGTTAGCCGCACAAATGGCATGACGGAGCCACACACAGTTGCAAGCCTGTTATCACAGAACAAAATAAGTGAACACGAGTTTGAGGTGGCCCGGACAAAGGGCACATTCGTATCTGATTTTTACAGTAGCGGGGAGATTAAGAAAATGGTAAAGAGGTGCCTCATTTTGTGTTCCCAACCCGTGGTGTCTTCTCACCACTTAACAAAACAAATAAAAATATTTTTCTTATTGACAGCTGTAATGTTTTACATGGAGAAGGACATAAAAGTGAGAATTAAAATTTGTAATTTAATCTCAAGTGAAATTCATACAAACATTTTAAATATAAAAAAATGTTCTATGATTCTTATGTACAATCCATATTTAAATAAAATAAAGCGGCTATCAAATATGTTTTAAGGCTGTTTATGTAAAGCCAGGGAAGAATGGGAAAAATATACAAACATAAAAAGAAAAAAGTTAAGTGACAAAAACATGGAAGAAATTTTAATTATATGACATATGGCATTTCACGTTGTTCATTCGGTATATGAATACAACGTACACATGTAGCATGTGTGTATGCTTATAACACTCCACACACACGGTTTTTGCGCGTGCAGTTAGGCAGACGCACACACATACGAAGCGTAGCCCATACACCACACGTGCTTCATGCACGGGGTGATATCATATACAAATAAAAGAAAAAAAAAAACTTATAAACTTTAAAAATAATTAAAAATTAATTATTGATTAATAAGGAGGAATTTACCTCTGAAGTGATCGCCACTAATATGGCAACATACAAGAACAAATTTTTGTGTGACAAATGTACTAAATTAAGCTCTCGTTGGCGAAAAGAAGTACTATCGCCGAAGAAACCGTTGAACCTATCGAAAGCCAAATCATCTGCATGGGAAGGGTTAAGGGGGTACATGAGTTCATTATGTGCTTGGTTATGTATATATACATAGGGAAATGGCAATACCCACGGAAGGAGGATGCTCCCCCGATGCGCACGAACACAGAGTGGAAGACATGTTCGAAAAAAAAAAAAAAAAAATGTGTCTTACGTTAATTATAGTAAGGTCAGACTTGTCCGACACCAAGTTGTGTTTCCACCTTATGGCCAAATAAAGTTCTAAAAAGAGAATTGTCGATGAAGCAAGGACATCGTAAAGGCGTTTGGGGGTTATCCTACGACATGGGTAAAAAAGGCACGGGAAAATATATGAGACAATGCGTTCATATGCAGAAGCCGAGATGTATTCACGCGTGCGGGTATATATATATATATATATATATATATATATATATATATATATATATATATATATGTGCAATCGGTACGACACGTGTCTATATTGCGTAATAACAAAACTGCTGTGCTTACCGTTCTGTAAAAGTGTGGTGTAGCTGTATGGACCCGTTAACTAAATAGGGGGGGGGGAGGTAGAGTACGAAATAAAGATGAGTACAAATTGGGGGGAAAAAACTGTTTCTTTCGCACCGAGTGCTGTTGTGCAACGTTTATCACTGTTTGAAAAAGCTTACTCGAAATTATGACGACGATTAATTCCCGTATGACTACTAAAAAATTCGTTTGTATCAAATGCAATTCGGCTTTTAAAAAAAATATGTTTAAATCGTTCAGATTCGCCATCAGGGAGAAGAAAACTATCAGCAGCAGGGAGCTGCTATTCTTAAACATCTTCCTTAACCTGCACGGGGTAAAAAAAAAAAAAAAAAATTATGCACAGATTTATGAAAAAAAAAAAAAAAAAAAAAAAAAAAAAGCTAGCTGACTTATAGCTAGCCATAACTATGAAGGGGCAAGTAATGACAATGTAAAAGTAGCAGAATATAGCGAATGAAGAGGTGTATTCTGCGCACAGGAAAATATAAACAGAGTCATAAATGCGCTTGTATATGTGTGTTCTCAATTACAGTCTATCTACACTTGGAAACATGATGCCCTTTTTATTCGCTTTAAATTTGTCTGGAACCCTCCAGGGGAACAGCTAAAGGGAAGGAAGTAAAATAATAATAATAAAACGAACGTGAAAATGATATGGGGATGCACGTAGAAAACACAAATATGCGACCTGATGGTAAATCGATGTTTTGTTTTGATTTGCTTACTGGAATATTTAGCCACTTCATAAAGTACAAGCCCATGAGTATTCCCGCCAGATTACACCCAAGGACGTCTAATATGATCTGCAGTGGTGAGTGAGGTGAAATGGACACACGTAAAGAATTATAGTGTGAATTGGGGGGGGGGGAATGGGCACGCTGTGATACATTGGCTTAAACGTGAGTTGCATCGAGGCAATGGAGAAATGAGCCATGTTTGTGTTTCTCCCTTTGCACTGTGCCTCTTTTTTTATACTTCTGCGTTCTTTTTTTTGTGTGCTCCTTTTTTGAGCTCCCTTTTCCCATGAGGACTCTCAACACTTACGTGGTCCCACCAACACTCGTAAAAGTTGGGCAAAATATGCTGAAATCTTAATTCTATCAGTTCGAATAATACACTATTTAAATTTAGCACGAAAAAATTTCGAACGGCCAGTGTCTTGACGAACCAGCCTCCCAAGTGGGCTATCACGAAGACGTCAAATTTATCCTGCATACGTATGAAAAAGAAGAGAAAAAAAGTGGGCAGATATGAGTTAGCCATATATTCATTTGCTCATTGCATGTTATGTTTGTCCTCCTTTCATACGCCGTGTTTATCCCTCTCTCCTAACCATAACTTTTTCCATGGAGTTGCAATTCTCCATATAGGACTTTTCGTGTGTGTAGAATGTTATGTTCTTGAAAACGTGTTTGATCATGAACCGCACCTCACTCGTCGTCTGCACAAAAGGGGGAAAGGTGTGGTATTGAGCTCAGGTGATTTTGCGGTGGACTTGTCCATGTGTCTGAAAAATGTTTCATCATTCGTTTCGCATCGTCCGGCATCGTTACACCATTGGTCAGTCATTTTTGTCATTTTTTTTTTTTTTTTTTTTTTACAAAAAAGTGAAGGAACAGGACGAAGGGGTAGTAAAATAGAATTGCCGCATTTACGATAAGTGTGATGGCGTCTCTTTTTACAGAGTAGACATATGTTTTGAACACAGATGCTGCTGCTAGGAAGTTGACGAGCGCCATCAGTGAGGCTCTGCGAAGGGATGGGGTGAGACGAATACGGGGATGTGCATTGGGGATTATATTGTGAAACTTTGCGTTCGTCAGAGTGCTTGCACGTACGTGGTTGCACACTGCACACACATACACAGACATGAACACATTTTTGGCCCCTCACATGTTTAGCTTTGTCTTAAAGTCTGAATTTTCCTTTATGTGCGTCAACAACAGAGTGATCAGGAGAGAGCCCCCGAAGAAACACAGACTGAGCCTGCGGAAGGGAGGAAAATAATTGTGTGCATTTGTATATGATTTCAAGGCTTGCAATATGTACACGTGTGCATGTATGCGGTAGAGTTATACACTCATGGTTGTCTTTGCACCCATCATGCGGTCTTCAAACATACGACAAGTACAGCTGAGATATATACATTTTTCACCAACGGGTGTTCTAAATGTAAAGCTTCACATGTGTACTCCGCATGACTACAGATGTTCATAAGCTCACCCGCAGGTGTGTTCATGCTAAGGGTTTGTTTTTTTCTTTTTTTTTGTTTTTGTTCTTACATTTTTGTGTGCCTCATTTTGAATGCTTTGGTTATATTGGCGCCACGAGGTGGATCTCCTTTTCGTTACTTTTCCACTTCTATATTGTTTTGGTTTGTTGGTCTGCTCTAGTGCTCATTTATTTTCTCTTCAAATTGGCTAGCCGCTTTCCAACTAGCATCTGGAACGTCATGCCGAAATGTTGGCTTGACACGCTAGTTGAAAAATATTTCACAAATATGGTTGCAAAGAGGGAAACAAACAAAAATGAACAGTTCGTCACTAAGGTGTAAATTGAACAAAGGACTTTTTTTCTTTTTTTTTTTTTTTTTTGTTTTCTTTTTGGTAAAATCTTCTAACAACGTGTGTAACGTCAAATGGTACATAATATGTACAGGACCCGTGTGACAAAAATTATCTTATACATGTAGTTGCTTCTAACCGGGCAGAAAGGTGCAAAAGAAAGGAGAGTATTGCGGGAGTGCATATATATATGTATATATATATATATATATATATATATGTATGTGTAGGTTTGAATAAATACAAAGCGCTCAGCTTTATGCGCGTGTGGTGATATATCTTTTTATATAAGCGTCGTTGCGGGGTAGCGGTAGGGAAACAAACAACATAAAATAAAATACGAAGCTAAACAAAATTCAACAGTGCTGAACAGAATTATACAACACAAAAGGCATGTGCATGTCATAGGAAGGAAAGAAAGGAAAAGAAAAGGAGAAAAATGTATAAAAGGATCAGAACAAGTAACACTAGGCACATCAACCAAGGTAACCACTACGAGAAATAACGGAAACGCAAAAGAATCGAGGGGGAACTGAGAAAACTAAGCATCATTTGCGTCTTTGAATAAGTAGAAAAGAACAAACAAAACAAAAAAAAAAAAAAAAAAAACAGCAGCAAATGAAGGGGTTTAATAAAGGTGAAGTTAGGAAGTACTATATATACATATATATATATGTACTCTAACTATTCAGTCCACAGGTGAACGAATTTTAGACCTGTGAAACACTTTTCTACGCGTGTAAGAACAATTCATTTCTGCGTTTGTCAATTGTGTAACGGACAAATTGGCATCATGGGGGGTGACAAAATATGCTTCGCGCAACTAAAGGAATGCGAACGCCAACGGGAACACCGTTACGGTTGTCCTTTTTCTGAAGTTGCATTTAACTTTGGGGAACGGATGTGAATGTGTGCCTGAATTTATAACTAAGCGGGCAGGGACATAATTATTTGCCACATAATGAAGTGATGTACGCAGCAGAAACGAATAAAAATCGCAAAATGGTTCAGCGGAAAAATTGTTTGCAAAAAAAAAAAAAAAAAAAAGAGAGTTTGTAACAACGCGGCAAACCTTCCGCAGTCAAAACATATACTAGTGTGTTAAAAGTGGCTATCCTGGGGATTATTTGGGGGGGAATTTGCTAATCACACGAAAATGATTTAGTTCTATGTATGTACTGTATATTTGTAGAAAGTCTTAGACCAATTTTCTGCACCATTTTGAATATTTTTTTTTTTTCTTTTTTTTTTTTTTTTTTTTCTTTACTCTTGTACGTAAATTTTTTTTGGTTACTATTTGATCACATTGAAAGTGATTTATGCACATATGGTGCCGTGGTAACGTGGTTCGTGTTCTATGGCAGTTTGTAAGCGGTAAAGGGAGGAAAGATAACACGGCCGTGTAGCAAAGAAAAGGAAAAAAGGCTACAAACCGATCGGACAAACTTCCAAATAATGCAGTGCAACATCATGTTGTCCACATTTCTACACATTTGCTCCAATTTGTTCTTTTCCAAAAAAAAAAAAAATTCGCTCCGTTTTATCATTTGTCTCAAATATCGGAGGGCAACAAAAAATGGGGGGGAAAATGAGAAGGAAAACAGCAGGGAAAAATGGGACAGTGTTCCTTTTGCCCCATGTAGATTTATACATTCATGTGTGTAATGTACATATGTAGTTTTATTTATTCAGCAAGTTGTTGTCCTTTTTTTTTTTTTCCTTTTTTGGGGAAAAAAAATGTGCTGCAACATCTACTTACAGTGTGTATTGTGGAGATGAAACAAAATTCCCGAAGTGATCTTCGGGCGTTTATACTGACCATTATGGGTAAAACGAATTGCAATGAATTCATGTTATGCCATTTCAATAATATTTCAGCTGTTTTATAATGATGGGGTAAGGGCACATGTTCCGACCGACGGAACGTGAACAGGATATTTTAAGGAGCACCAAAGCGTTCTGCTAAGAAAATTTCATAGTGACACCCCTTTTGTTGAGCAGTTTTACCAACTCACAATAAAGTATTCGTATTAGCTAGTTGATCATTTTTTTTTTTTTTTTTTTTTTTTGTTCCATATAATTCCCAGTAACCTTGGCACGTTGGAAAGCTTATCTGGTTCACATTTGACGCAGGTATATTTGTCACACAGTTTGATTTATTTTTTTTTTTACATTCGGGGATGACCTTTCAGTGAGGACGGACTTTTCAACCTTCTTGTACATTTCGAAGGTCCGTATTTTTATCCTCTCTACCACACGCGTAACACATATTGGCATAGAGTGTTCACGCAAAAGCTGCGGAGCCTCGCCTATGTGCGTGGTCTACACGGATAGTTCCCTATACATTTTCCGCATCGTCTTATATATAATCATGAGGGGAGATTAAGCGGAGTGTTTTTATTAAAATGTTATAAAGACGGAGGACTTGGTTCACTAAAGTGTGTAATGGGGAAACAGAGGGCGTAGGATATGGGGGATGTTACATACGTGCATAGGGTCAGGTGTTCATCCCATACGTAGGTGTATAAATTTCCTTTTCCCGTTCGCCTGTAACATTTCCACACGCATGTTATATGACGAGCTGATCTCACCCATTGGGTACACTGCACAGTCTCGCTAGCTATACCTCCGTATGCCCATTTTTGCGTGTTGTGGGGACTTGGCTTTTTTGGCCTCTGCATTGTACGTGTCCGCTCCGCAGCGCGTTTCGCCGTCGTAACTGCGCCCGTCCCACGGCCCGTCACGACTGTTGCTGTTTTATTTTTCTCGTTTCAAACTTTGCTACAATTTCGCTGCCATTTTGCTACCAGTTCATGTCATTTTGCTGTATATATATATTTTTTTTTTTTTCCTATGCCTGTTTCCACTTTTGAATGAATGATACCGTGTACAATTTTTCCACTGAGCAATTTTTTTTTTTTTTTTGGAGTAGGTTTGAATAACACGGAAATGCAATACGGGTATAAGGATATCGCTACGCATTGTGGCCGTGCGGATTTTAAACTTACGCATGATTATGCAGTCATCGAAGTTTCGCTTCACAGTTTAC